TGTGGTATAGTGTCGGCTTTGTCAGCATCGTCAGCAAGAAGGACCACCGGTGAGGGTTTTGTACCATCAACAAACTCCATTAAGTCATGTCCGAGAAGAAACGGGACGACTTGCGTGCGCCAGAACAAATAATTCTTGTAGGTTAACTTGGTATTGATAAAGTGGTGTGCAGTGGATAGCGACACAACTGACGAAGAACTTAACGATATAGTAGCATTAGAAACGGTTCATTCGGAGGAATTAATAGATCTGTCAGCCATAGGAGCAAGAGAGAAAACCCTAGCTCACTGATACCAGATGAGAACTGATTGTATTCTATTAACTGAACATAATTACAATGAGATCAGATGATGTGAATATATACAATAGAGAGTCACAGTGTGACAAGGATAATAAGTTCTAAGCAGACTCAGATACATAGAGTCATAATAAGAGTGTTAAAAAAAAAAAAAAAAAAAAAAAAAAAACATGAGTAGCTTTAATTTCTTTTCGTATATATACATATTCCTTTTAGCTCCAAGATTTTTTTTTTTTTTTTTGTAAGATAGTATCTATTATATACTATCTCAAACATTTTCAGCTCAAAAAATTTTAGTCCCGAACATCGGAATTCAAACTTATGACCATCCATATAGAATGATAACCGATATGCCATATAATCACACTACATAGTAGTTGGCCTTTTAGCCTCAAGATTTAATTGTTCCCTAATTGGGGGGAGTTCGACATCCCAACACCTGTTGCTTTGCAAATGTATCCCATACCTTCAGGTATGGAATCATATTAATTATAATAGTTGTGAGTGGAAAGTTAACAAAGCCTTACGTACCTATAAATACTATTTTCTAAGAAGGTAAGTAATGACTTGCATTCCACTTGAACAATTACAACTATATATACATAAACTTAACACTAAATTAGGAACTAATTCAACTATATAGAGAAAATATTGAAAAAAAAATGTTCTTATAAAACTATCAAGTGCTTTCAATGTGTGAACTAGCTAATAATGACATGGACAATAGCAATGGAAGAGTGTCTAACAAGGAAGAATGTTACAAATGTAGTCGTTATATCGAGGACCGCGGTGCATAATCGATTATGCACCGTGCATAAAAACGGCACAGTTTATTTACATAAAGAAACGGCACGCTGTTAGTGTTAACGAAGTGACACTACAGTGTATCTAAACCGACACTGCCTCACGTATTATTTTTATATTATCAAATGAAACTACAATTATATCAAAATGATACTGTAGTTGTGGTGAAATGAAACTGCAGTATATATAAAATGAAACTGAATAACATTTCACATATTTGAGTGTATATTGTACAATGAAGCTGTAATTATATCAAAATGATCATGTAGTTGTGTTTTAATGAAACTATAGTGTATATAAAATAAAATTAAGGGAAAAGGGTCAAATAGGCCCTCAAACTTTACCTAAAAAGTCAATTAAGCCCCTAAACATTTTAATGGTGCAATTAAACCCATCAACATATCATTTTAGTGCAATCAAGCCCAAAAACTAATTAGTGACCTGCTATTACAGGTCACTAAGTTTCAGTCAACATTCCGGCAACCTCAAACTAACTCCGACGATATTTCCAGCAACAAATCAACCTACAACCGTGTATATATATATATATATATATATATATATATATATATATATATATATATATATATATATATATACACACACACACACACACACATATATATATAGCTGCCTTGCTGTGTGCATATGATTTGGATCTCCACATATTTCTAAATCCTAACATGGCAGCAAGCAACAGAGGTGATGACGAGATGTCCGACGACGGCAAGAAATTAAAACTCTAGTGGTGACACGGAAACAGCAACCTGGTCCTCCCTTGAAATGATCAAGATGTTTTCACCAAGGTATTTGTGCAATACTAAAGGAGGGGCATTGCGTAGCGTCCCCGTCGACGGCAACTTCTGGCCAGAGAACGAAAATGATTAAATCTTCCACCACTACAAGATATTCTGAACGAAAATATCGCCGAAATTAGTCGGAGGTTGCCGGAATGTTGACTGAAACTTAGTGACCTATAATAGCAAGTCATTAATTAGTTTTTGGGCTTAATTGCACTAAAATGATATGTTGATGGGTTTAATTGCACATTTAAAATGTTTAGGGGCTTAATTGACTTTTTATGTAAAGTTTGAGGGCTTATTTGACCCTTTTCCCTAAAATTAAATAACATTTTCACATATTTGAGTGTATAAATATTGAACGAAACTGTAGTTATATTGAAATGAAATTATAGTTGTATTGAACTGAAACTGCAGTGTATACAAAATGAAACTGAAGAACAGAGTTATTTTTTGCAGAACGGTGCGGAACGACGCGAAATGGATTTCGTTTCTTTTCATTAAATAAAACGACGTCATTTTGATGCGCGGTGCATAATCGATTTTGCACCGCGGTGCACAATATAATTTGTCATAATGCATGTAGCCTATTGTATTGTATTTTTAATGAGTTATATTATATGTCATTAATTTCATTGTATGTGGATCCGTTAAACGGGTTAGATTTTTCATAAGTGTAGCACTTTTCCTCATAAATATTACTCCGTATAATTTTCTTCATAAATAACTCTTCAACCCTAATGTTATATTTTGATTTAAAAGTATTATATTTTTCCTCAAAATATTACAATTTTTATAAGTAACAAACAATTTATTACTTACTTTTAATTAGTACTCCGTATTACATTTTCTAGAATAAATATTACATTTTCATCTTAACTCGCCCGTCTCACACAATAGAATACTCACCCTTAATTATTAGGTTGATTAACTTTGGTCTTCCATTTTTACTTTTTCTCTGATCAATACAAACCAATTGACAGAAATACGTACTTTTACAGGGTGTTTGGTTGGAAGGGGGGTATTACGTGGGAAAGGAATTGTAATTTTATAGGAGATGAATTACTGAGAATAAAGTGAGAATTTAAATTCCAGTGTTTGGTTGACAAGAATAGAATTACTAGGAATTTCAATTTCAATGTTTGGTATACAATGCTGCTTGTAAAGCTCTTTCGTCGAGTGTAGGAATTGAAAGGAAATAATTAGTATAAAGTCCAAAATGCCCACTGTTAAGGAAAAGTCAAGCATTAATTTTAGGATAAAAAAATGGAGGGGTAATTTTGTTTCATCACTAGAATTCATGGAATTAAAATTTGGGGGGGGGGGGGGGGGGGGGGAGGGGTGGGGGGGCATGTGATTTTAATCCATGAAAATGTAGGAATTGCAATTCCTTCCAACCAAACTAAGGAATTTAGTGGCCTTTGGAATTAGGTGGAAATTAAGTGGGAATGAAATTTAAATTTCCTCAAACCAAACGCCCTGTTAGTATTAGTGGATCTCCGAGGATTTGGGAGGCCATGTAGCGGCAAATTATACCGTGCACCAGGGGCACAATGCATTGTGCACCTTGGCCCAAAACGACGTCGTTTTGTACCTTTTCGCGAAAATACATGTTTCGAATGTACAGACTTTTATAATAGAATACACAGAATTTTATACCTGAAAACACAATTTATAACTGAAAATTCCCATGTTTCGAATGTACAGAATTTTATACCTGAAAACACAGAATTTTATAACTGAAAATTCTCATGTTTCGAATGTACAGAATTATATAATAGAATGCAGAGAATTTTATAGCTAAATATATAGAACTTACCAAAACGACGTCGTTTTGGAAGGCGCGGGGCGCACATTGCTATGTGCACGGTATAACGATTGCCATGTAGCAAGGATCATGACGAGATTACGAATTTTGCCAATGATGTGGATTGGTTACAATCATTTTATTTGGTTTTCTTGAATGTTAATTCTAAATTCAACAAACAAAATTAACCGATAAAGTTGATCAGTTAACCAATTTTAATTATAATTGCTGGGTTAAACAATGGTTATGGACTTTTTAGTGCATAGATATAGGTATATTATACGGAGTAAGTAATATATTAGGTGGGACTATTCTTAAAATGTTAAAACCTTATTTGTGTTCGTGTGGGAGGGAGGTTTGCATAAAAGAGGATTTGACCATGATTGTTTAAAGTCTCAGCAATTTTAATTGAACTATCCACACACTCATAGATCATCTCAGCCAGGCCATTATCTAATTATGATTCTTTATCTAATTATTTTAGAGTGGAATCATCCATTTACGCATAGTAAAAACTAATTCTTGGTAAATAATAAATTTTCTTTGTAAATGAAATAGACTTAGTACCAAAAAGGGCATGTTTAGGAAAGGGTTCACCTTAAGTTGTTATACCATGGACCAGGTCCACCTTGCAAGATAAATTTTAATTTTAAACGACATATAAATTATACTCTGTATATTTTTAGTATTGAAATTGTGAATTTCTAGAATATAAGGTGTAGAACAAAATTTGTGAATGCAATACAGGATCATCAAATCTTAATATGTTAATATTGTATAATTGCAATATTTGAAAGGAACTTGTGAATATAAAATACAGCAATCAATTATATATATGTTAAGATTGTGTGTTAGTAATATACAAATAATGAAATTTTTAAAAAGTAAATTATAAACATTTAGTATGTAAATTGTAAACATTTGTACGCGGATAAAGTGGATCCGAGTCCAAAAAATAATTTACTCTTAGGTTGTTTGCAATTAAAACAATTCACTAGAAAATTGCAAAATTTTTAATCATAATGAGTATTAAAGCAATCAAACTATATCAACCTTCTTAGCTATCAAAATCTAGAGGGCAGCATTAAACTCTTGATTTCTTGAGATATCAGGCAGGAACCTTTTCCAAAATTAATTATATTGCTTATGAAAAACACACAATTCTTTAGTTAACTTTATCTAATTTAACTATGGAGTTTGGAGTTGTGACCTAGTGTGATTAAAATGAAATTTTGAAAATAAAAATAAAATTTTGAGGCTGTGCAAGGCTTCTAGGCTTCATCAATGCTTCTACTATTTCGAGGTAATTGTAACTTCAGTTACCCTAAACTTTTGAGTGAGATTTCATTTGTAATACACTATTATATTGCTTTCCCTAGATTTCATAAAGATGCCAAAGTAATGGCAAGACTTTCTCCCTACAACTATGAGGCTCCTATGAACAAACATCCATAAGATGGCACACAACACTCCAATTAAAGAAAAACAAAATAATCTATATAATCCATTTTTAGACTTGCCGGAACGCGTTGATGTTGCAGAGGTATTACCTGAAGCAACTTTAACGTTTCGAGCATTTAATCGTAGTCTTTTGAAGCTAGACATTCGCTCAAAGGCCTTGTTCACCAGAGCACTTTCTGCATCTGAAGCAGGAGTGGCTGGTATAGATTCCATAAAGACCCATAGAGCAGAAGAGAAGCTTGAATTTGTAGCATCATCCTGTATATTATTCTGATTCAAATTTGCTCCCACAGGATGATCCTCAAAATGATTACCATATACCATACCTATACACACCAAAACTCGGTAAAATTAGAAAACAATATCTTGCACTGTATATTAGCAGTAGAGCTCTTGAAGCTGGCTCAAACTCCCCCATTTCCACTTGGGCAAAAGAGTTCTCGCCATTTGGAAGGATGACATGGAGTTCCATACCATCCATCTGTCCAAGAGCCCCTCCTCATATAGTTAACCAAGGCATAAACTGTTTGCATTTAACATTTTATTTAAAAAAATGAGTCATTGCTACAATCCCAATAGTTATATTTGTTGTCTGCAACAATTTCTGTACCTGAAGTCAACGGAAGGTTGGCACTCTGACTTGCTTCAGTCGGGTTCACTGTGCTACACCACCTTAGATCATGGCTCCATAACTGGTGGTTGAATTCATTACCCTCGTTCAAATACAACTGCTGGTTAATCATTTGACTCGCTTCAGTTGGGTTTATAATGCCATTTGCCACATGATTTGTAGCTTGTTCAGCACCTTGACTCACTCCAATAGCCCCCATATCATGAAGGAACATAGCTGCATCTTGGTAGAGCTCGAATTCATTCAGTCCATCAAAATCAACGACCTGCTGGCTCCCACAGTTCTCCACTGGCTTATCTAAGTTCTGGTTAACACTGAATTCTGAACCATCAAGATCATTCATCTCCAAAAAATCTTCAAGGAAGTCCTCTTCCACTACAGGAGCAGATGTGACCTCCACTGGCTTATCTAAGTTCTGGTTAACACTGAGTTCTGAACCATCAAGATCATTCATCTCCAGAAAATCTTCAAGGAAGTCCTCTTCCACTACAGGAGCAGATGTGACCTCAGTTGCTTCATGCAATTGCGGCTGCAATGTCCATGAATGTATCGGATCGAAGTTGGCTTGCTCATTATGCAGTGGTGGGACAGAAAAAAGAGTAGCAGTTTGCACTGGCAAATAAACCTCCCCTGCAGAGTGATCCAGCAGAGCATTTGCAGTATCCTCGTTACCAACCAGCTTGTCCACATAACTATTATCAACGGGAAGCAATTCTGTAAGTGAAGGTTCATCTGCAATATACTTCAGGAATTCCTCAAGACCATCTATCAGGGGAGGCAAGTCACGCAACACATCATTAGGTTTTGGATCATTAATAAGCCCAACATCATTGACATTCTTCCTAGATTTTTCCTGCTCAACAGGGAGATTAGTTCCAAAGCATTCATCATCAGCCCAGTCCTCTTCATTAAACGGTGCACCATATTGCTCCCCATTTTTGGGCCCAGGTCCACTCTTCTTAAACACCTTGTACAGTGCATAATAATCCTGTGCAGATTGGCATCTTGACAACTCCATTTCACCCAAAGTATACTCATGCATCACCCAATCTGTTCGTTCCCCAGTAGGTGCACGGCCTTTATAGAAGACAAGGGTTTTCTTAACACCAACATCACGAGAATTACACGTAACAGTACGGTCCTTCCCAGTTGTCTTCCAGTATCCATGCTTGGTTGCTCTGTTAGTCCTGCGACCATTCGGATATTTTCGATCCATGGGGCTAAAGAAGAACCATTGCCGGTCACCAGTCTTCAACTTAGATAGCTCTGCATTTCAAAATTTGCAAAAACAAAGTCAATAAATTTGCCAAAAAAAAAATAAATAAAAAAAAAACATTATCAAACCAATAAAGTTGGAAAGGTGTAGGTTATCCATTGTTATACAGGAGTATGACTTAATGTGAGACACCAATCAACCCAAAAGGAGAATGTTTTCAAGAAAGCCATACAAAGTTTTTAACTCATACTCGGTTACTCAGACTGCATACACAACTGAAATCACAAACTTTAAAGTTAGGTAATAACTTGATTGTTGTTTGACTCTTACTTTCATGAATTAGATAACAATTCAGCAATACATTTATACAGAGTATTTCACAATTCAATGTGTTCCACAATATTATTGTTATTAATTATCAATTATTGGCATCTACTATATACTATATATATACTATCTACATATATAGTTGTCACCAAACATCAAACTTGGTACTTGAAAAAATCAAAAGTAGCATACTTCAAAAAAATTGTTCCACAAATCCAAATAAATCAAACAAAAGCACATATTTAAGATGCTCAATACAAATCAACCATATATGATCCCAATAAAACAGAAACACAACCATAGGAATATTCAACAAGGATCGGTTCAAAACAATGTTTTTCATTTGATTTGTCTTAACCAGCCATTAAACAAATAGGTAAAGTGAATATCAAAAAGATTCAAATAAAATCAAAATTAGCACCACTCCAAAAAATTGTTCCATAAATCAAACAAAAACACACAATTAAGATGCCCAATACAAATCAACCATATATGACCCCAATAAAACAGAACCACAACCACATTTTTTCATTTGTCTTAACCAAATAACCAGCCATTAAACACATAGGTAGAGCGAATATCAAAAAGATTCAAATCACGCAAATCCAAAAAGATAAACTAAGCTGAATACCAACAAAAAGAAAACGGAAAAAAATTCAAAAGATAAACTTTCAAATACTGAAAAGCATCATCAAATACCTCATTATGCCGCTATACTCGAGAAAAATAATCAAAGAAACATCAGAAATAAAACCCACAATCAACACACGAATACACAAGGCCAAGCAAAACCCTAATGATAAAACAAAATCAATGGCGTGGAAAAAATACCAGGCAAATCATCCGGATCCCACTTGTAGACGTCAGTCTCGCCGATGACATCAGTGAGAATTCGCCGCCGGCAGATCCTCCTCTTCAAGAAATACAGGAGCAGCTCCTCGTCCGTCGGGTGAAACCTAAACCCCGGCGGCAACCTCTGGTCAGGGAAACCCTCTTTAGCCATAACCATGTTTTCCCAATCACAATTTTTCCGAAAACCGAACAATTTACGTAAGGCGAATTTGAAAAGTAATGAAGAATTGAGAGGCTTGATTATCAAAGAATGATGATCGAAACGGAATTTTGCAGCTATAGAACTGTGGAACGGTAATATTATAATAAGGGGTTTTGGGGTTGAGGGATAAAAGTGTAATTTGAGATTGGTAAGAAGCTTCCTGGTACTTGGGTTTAAGTGTTTAGCGGGTTAATAAGGAAGAGATTTGGTGTTAACCGTAGTGAGCTCTGAGTGAGATTTAAGGGACTGGAAAAGATTGGTATTTTTGAGTTTCATTTTTTAATTATAATTTTCTTAACTAATATTCTATATTTTACATATTTATTTTGTAATAAAATTTGTCAAATACACAAATAGGAATTTGTTTCCATATTAGGATATTGATAAGCGTCAAAAGATGTTAGTTTTTAGAAGTTTTTCGAAGGTGTTTTGCACATGATTTAGCTTTAAGGGTGTGTGTTTTACGAAGATTTACCTTAAAATGTGGTTCAGTACAAAAAAATATTTCTAGTTATATCTTTTAATGTTTTTAGAATTTTTTGGAAAAGAAAGGTGACAAAGGAGGCTCATAAACGTCAAAAGCAGAGCACATCAAGACCCCGTTCACGCCCGTGTCACGGCGTGACGGAGAAATGAAGAAGCCAAAAATCCAATCGCGTCGCATGCCACACACGTGATGGGACGAGAAGGGATTAAATCTCATTCATGCCGCAATCACGGTGTGAGGGCAGCGTAACCAAGCAGGCGAGGACGAATTGAAGCTGGACGCGGGCGGAGTAAGTTCCCATTTACGCCCGCGTCATACCATGATCGCGGCGTAAATGGGACGCCGAATGGAGTTAGGGCATATTTAAAGGTCATTTAGAGAGAAATTTAGGGGAGTTCTACAATTTTTAGATCTAGATTAGTTTTTACACTTTCTCTCACTAGAATTTAGCCCTAAAACACTCACAATTTTGTAAGAAGAAGAGGAAGATTTAAGCAATTCCTTGTAGGATCTTCATCTTCTACCTTGATTGTTTCGTAATCTAGACTTTGCAACTTGGGCAATTCTTATAGTATTTGTAATGCCAGATAGAATATATTGCCCTATTGTATTACGAATAGAAATTTTAATGTAGAATTATAGTACGAATAAGAAAAGCAGGAAACAATATATTCTATTAGGAATTGTATTACACTATTTTATAATATTAGAATATGAATTTTAACCTAGAATTATAGTACGAATAGGAACGTAGAAAATAATATATTTTATTACAAAGTGAGATTTTTTAGGAATTGGGCGGGAAGTTAAAGTTCAGTCTTTTGTTTTTATATATAGTATAGTATAGATAGTATTGATAGTAAAGGTAAATTAAAAATGGAACGCAATATTTCAATAATAATATTCTACATCATCAAAGAAAAATGAAACGAAAATTAGGTAAAAATATCACTGCATCTCATATTCTAATTGACTAATTGACTGAAAATAAAAAAAATAATTCGCTGAAGATGGATCTAATATTACTAATTGACTGAAAATATAAAAGGAAATAAATATTAATAATTGACTGCAAATAAAAAATGATCCATAATTGACTAAAAAAACAATGGCCAGATCATTGCCTTTTAATTAAAAATAGAACGAAAATTGAAAATTGGACAAAAATATTTCAATAATAATATTTTACATCATCAACAGTAAATAATATTTTAAACAATAGTAAATGTAAATTAAAAATGGAACGGAAATATTTCAATAATAATAGCTACATCATTAATTAAAAATGGAACGAAAATTAGGTAAAAGTATCACTGTATTTGATATTCTAAATTTCTAATTGACTGAAAATAAATAAGAATAATTGGCTGAAAATGGATCTTATATTACTAATTGACTGAAAATATAAAAGGATCGCTAATTGAGTAATATTCTATCATTATATATTTTCACTCATATCACCCGTCCTGATAGACTGAATGTGTTAGCTCTAGACGAGAATGGACAAGATTGTGTTGTCTACAAAGATGTTTCAATAATGTGTAAATATAATCAATGATATTATATTTTTTTTAAATAAAAAATTTGTTATATATCTAGACAAAAAATATATTTTCCATACAAATGAATTAGAATATCAATTCATTTCTATAACCGAGTTGTTAGAGAATGAGCACATTTGCCTAATTTATAAAAATACTAAACAATGATAAATAAAATCTTAAAAGTTATAGCGCATCATGCGTACATCTAGACATTAGCTATTAATTTGAGCAATTATTTGCACAAAATTCAAGCAATGATAACATCAAAATACATAAACGATCCAAACCATATCTTTAATTGTACTATATAGTATTCGACGGTGAAAATCCTGGGTATGTCCAAAAAAAATATTATGAAAAATCCGTTCCATGTATCGCACGGGTGAAAATACTAGTGAATGCAAAAATCGTTTTTCTTAAAGCCTACGGTAACCATGAGAAATAAAATGATGTGGATTAATTGTTTTGCCTACAAAAAATGAAATACCTCTTGTGCGATTGGAGCAAACTTCCTAGCAATGGTACATTATATTTAACAATATCATCATTGTTTGAAGAGAATATTTTGTTAATTGATATATCTACATGAAAATTAGTGGGAGTAAGCTTGGTAACTATGAGAAATAAAATTATGTGGATTAATTGTTTTGCCTACAAAAAATGAAATACCTCTTGTGCAATTGGAGAAAACTTCCTAGCAATAGTACATTATATTCAACAATATCATCGTTATTTGAAGACAATATTGTTAATCAATATAGAGATTTTTTCCAAAATGGTCCCTCGACTATCACTCATTCTCAATTTTGCATTTTGACTTTTAATTGCACCCAATGTGGTCCCTTGACTTTTAAAAACTCCCCCAAATTGGTCCTCCGTTCGAAATTTCGTCTATTGAGTGTTAAAATGAAGGATATTTTTGTCCGTTTACCTATTATATGCCTAATATACTCTGAAAAATAGTCGAGGGACCATTTTGAGAATAGTCGAGGGACCATTTTGGAAAAAATTCATTTATTTATTTCCATTTTTTTAAGACTATCATGTTAGAATTTCTATAGATTTTTTTTTCTTACAAATATAAATAGTTTTTAAACTTTCTCTACAATTTTTTCCTTCTGTCTAAACATACAAATTTTTCCTCTATCCCTATCAAGTTTTAAAGTTTCGTACTTTGGTAAACAAGTTTAACTTTCAAATTTAAGTTTATTAATTTTCATATATAAAATACAAACAAACTTCAAAATGACAAGAACTTGTAATATTGAAAAATGATGAGGCTTTAGGTTTAGAATTGCTTGTTTTGTGCTAATTATTTTTGCATTTGGTTTATTTTACTTGTCCTTTAACACATAAAATTGATAGCCGTAGTTGTAGACTCTCTTTAGCATGATGTACTTCTTGGTAGATAGGCATTTGGAAATGGTAGTTATGATTTGTACTAACTTTGGAATGAAACTAATGGCCTTGCAAGTTAAGTTAAGCCAACTTTTCAAAAATATTTTCTATGATTTTGTCATTGAACGAGAAGTGACGCGTACTTCTCAATTCCAAGAAGTGCTAGAAGCATAGCGATTGATTGTAAAAATAATAATTTTATTTTCAAAGGCATACTGACCGAGAAATGAAGCGTACATTTTGGGTGTCTAAACTGATAAAAATAGTAATGTTATTTTTATTGGTAAAAATAATATTTAATGTGATACATAGTGATTGATTGTCTATTGAAGTTTGTGTGTGTGTGTGTGTGTGTGTGTGTGTGTGTGTGTGTGTGTGTGTGTGTGTGTGTGTGTGTGAACATAAAAAGTATATGAGTATTATATTTTTGAAACTTACGGAACTTATTGTAAAACTTGATAGGAATAGAGGGAAGTTGGTATGTTTAGATAGAAGGAAAAAATTTGTAGAGAAAGTTTAAAATTTTGACTTTTGATTGTGGATTTTAACTATTTATATTTGTAAGAAAAAAAAATGTATAGAAATTTTAATTTGATAGTCTTAAAAAAAATAGAAATAAACAAAAATGAAATAAATAAATGAGTTTTTCCCAAAATTATCCCTCGACTATTTCCAAAATGGTCCCTCGACTATTTTTCAGAGTATATTAGGCATATAATAGGTAAACGGACGAAAATGCCCTTCATTTTAACACTCAATAGACGGAATTTCTAACGGAGGACCGATTTGGGGGAGTTTTTAAAAGTCAAGGGACCACATTGGGTGCAATTAAAAGTCGAAATGCAAAATTGAGAATGAGCTATAGTCAAGGGACCATTTTGGGAAAAAACTCATCAATATATCTACATAAAAATTAGTGGGATTAAGCTTGTTATATATTGATAACTTCTTTACTTTTTCGAAAATAATAGATGATGTTGTATAATGTGAAGAGGTTTCTCTCTAAGAATTTTATGGTGAAAGATATGGTAAGACATCCTATGTGATTGGAATAAAAATGTTCCAGAAATTTCCGATCACCGGTGGTCAGAAAAGTAAGAAAACCCAAGTAGCCAACTTTTTCATGCGACAAACTTTTCTGACGCCACTATTTTAGTGGAGGGTATTTTCGACCACTTCATCGAGGGGAAGAAAATACCGATAAGCATTTTTTGGATCCCAAAAATGACCGTAACAGTGGTTTATAATCGGATTTTGGTGATTTTCGACCACTTTCGATGGTCAAAAAATTACTAATTTTCAACACTACATTCATTCCATAATTCATCTAGTTTTTGAATTATGATTGTCCATATTTTGTTAAATATGAATAATTAAATATTTGTAAATAATTTCATACTATTTAGATTGTTTTATACTTTTGATCACCTTAAGTGCATAATATTAAGTTTAATTATGCAATTAGGGTTGTGAGATTTTGATTTACAAATAACAACATATCATAATTCACTTCCAGATCCCAAAAGTGGTCGGAACAGTGATTTCTAATTGAATTTTAGCGATTTTCGACCACTTTTGGTGGTCGGAGAAATCGCCAAAATCCAGTTAGAAACCACTATTCCGACCACTTTTGGGATCAAGAAAAACGCTTATCGATATTTTCGACCACCCGATGCAGTTGTCGGAAATACCGTCACAAAAATATTGGCATTGGAAAAATTCGTCGCATGGAAAAGTTGGCTGCCCGGGTTTTTCGACCACCGGTGATCGGACAACTGGAAGTAAAAAACATCAAACATTTCACCACTTTTAGTGCTCGGAAATGTTCCATAGTAAAAAAATATTTCACTACAAAGAAAATCTCTGTATCTACTTAAAAACATAAAATACACATTCCATATGCTTAAAGAGAATTCATTCATCAATATACATTTGAAAATTTAAAACAAGCCAAAATCTGACATTCCTATTAGTCTCTTGATTTCTAAATATATAAACAGGAAACACATCATTTCTTTACTCACTTAGTTGATCATAGTACCTAACGAATTTCTCAGTCACCAACCTCCCTACCTTTAGCTACCACACACATGAAGTATACAATTGTAAGCAAGCCGCTTGCTGCAGATTAAAGACTATACTCAAGTTTACATCACAAGGTCTTGTAGTCATACCCATATATGCGAAGTATTTAAACAGCCTAGTCTTGAAAACCTAATTGTTTTTAATTTACCAAGTTGTCAGATCATTGCTATTTTGAAAAAATCTCTATCACCTAAACAGGGTTGAAATGTTCATAGTTTAATATTCCATGTTATGTAAGTAGGATATGCATCCGTAGTTCAAATGATATTGATGAAGCTATTTTACGTGTGAAACTCAACATATCGTGTGAAACAATGCCTAGTCCGGTTTGCTGTAGGGAATCGAAAATCAGCTGGAGCAATCTTCAGTTCAATCTGGGAGAAAGATTAACCAAAATACATTATTATTTTAGCGAAAGAGGTCAACCTACAAAAGGTTAATAGTTGAAAAAATTAATAGAATTTGGAGCAGCTTATTTTTTCCTAAAGCACAAATTCATAACTAACTGGAATAAATGAAATGCCATGTTAAAAGTCTTCGAACCAAGTTGGATAAACTTTTGTAAGTCATCGATGAGCATACATGACTCTATTATTGTGGTCTGCATATTAGGTCGGTCACTGGATTGCCTTCAACATATCCCTAAACCATGTTTAAATACATCCCAAAAATCATAAGCACATTAACTAACATAACAATAATAGGATCAAATGTGAGAAAGGGAGTTTAGATGTACTTTTAAATTTAGATGTATTGAGACTAAATGCGTTGGCTTCACGTGTATTTGAAATATATGCGTCCCTACCCAGCCATAAATTGCCAATGTCATAGTCTTACCATTACATGCATCAACATTACTTTAAAGATGCGGCCTATTGAGAGATTTAAAGATCTTTTTGTTCATAAACTTTACTTTTGATTACAAGGGGAGTTTACTAAAAATGATCTTCCTTTAGCCCTTATCTAGACAGACTCAATAGACGTAACATGAACACACACCAATTAGGGGTATTAGTGTTTTACAATTTGTAGGAAATTTATAAAATAAATAAAAAGAAGAAACATACCACCACAGAATTATGCAGATATTGATAACCATTCATCATTTTCTGGATTAGTAAGGAAAAGAGATTAAGAACAAAATAGAAGAATAATTTTAAAGGAATTTCTTACTGTTTTAATTCCAAGGCTTGATCCCACCTGAAGCAAGAATCTAAAGTAAGGAAATTAAAACCATGGCTAATCTTTACTTGGACAGCCCAAAAAATTTAAAATATTCAGCCAACTTGAGAGCATGGGTAGAAACTACTAGAAATATATTAATATTCAAAGGGCCCAGTTCATTATCTAAGATGTGAAAGTATTTAGAAGGCAAAAATTCCTGATTCAAGTATTTAACAAATTTCTTAAATTAATAGAAGTATCAAGTATGAAGAGTGGTAAGAAAAGCATATGTAGAGTACTAGAGTAGTTTCATAGATGGGTTATAAGAACAAAATAGAAGAATAATTCTAAAGGAATTTCTTACCTGTGTTTTAATTCCAAGGCTTGATCCCACCTAGCTGAAGCAAGAATTTAAAGTAAGGAAATCCCCATTCAAAAAGATAAGTGCTGCAATATAGCATAAATTATTTTTCCTTGAATGACAAAAGACAACAAGCAATATATCCACAACATCCCCTTATTAAATGGAGGATCATGTGATCAGTTTCAAATTCAACACAAACATACAGTGAAATCTATGTTTAAATAGAATTATACCTCCAACTGCTATGGCCTATGCAGTTTAATTTGGAGACATCTAGGTCATCACAATCCTAGGTACTTGATGAGGAAAAAAAAAACCTTAGAAACTAAAGAACCATACAGTAGCACATAACAGAGGAAATAAACTATTAAAATCTAACCTTCACTTTTTGCAGACAGCCAGCATCATACAGTAGCACATAACAGTTGGTTGTATGCCTACAGATTTTAATAAATACTTCATCACTGAACTGAATGGATAGATAGTCTCTCAGATAAAAGTAGATACTCCAGATCCATTCACGTATCTTTATTCAAAATCTATTTGGTCATTGATTTTTCATAAATAGTTGAATTTATTACGGAGTAAAATTTTGCTAAAAGTCAAATAATTCTTATTTCAATCATTTTTTTTTTTATAACATTTCAATCTTTCTTTATTCACCCAATTTTTATTTGTTTTTTTGAAGAAGAAGATGATGCAACCACGGGAGATGAAATCAGTAAGTAGGCGAAGGGGGTGTAGGGGGTGTTTGGTAATAGCTGTTAGCTAATACTTGTTAGTTAATTGGGTTAGTGTGTTTGTCTAGTTGATATCATTAGCTGATTGCAGAAAGATGTTTGGTAAATTAGTTTTTAGCTGATGACTGATTACATGCAAAATGATTTTCTAAAACATCTTATCAGGCAACCTCCAAAGCGATTCGTTTATGGGATAAGGCTTACTGTATAACTGAGGGGCTCTGGCAAGGCATCTCCTCCTTGGTAGAGGATCACATCCATGGACCATCAGCTTCTGGGCTAACTTCCAATCGTCATTGCAGATTTCCCCAACGTCGTAGTCCATGTACTCTTCGAGATCAGTCTTCATGGCAAAGCAAGCATGGCCAATGCTGGTGAATGTGCCATTGGCTCCCATGAAGTTTTGCTTCCCAAGCCTGTTTGGCTTGATTCTTACATATTTCCTAACCTCTTCTGTCAAGAAGTACTCACCAGGTTCTTCTGATTGAATCAGAGGATGTGCTTCGAATTCACTTCCTTCTACATGATACATAGATGTCTGCACAAACTCAACTAGCCCCAGAATATCTGCAAGAAAAGCAGCAGATTTCGATCCGGGGGGCATCGACTTATTTGGCATCTCTCTCAAAGTATCAATTTCCTGTTGGATTTTGTGGATGATAGTGTCAAGAGTGGAGTTTACATGGCTGTCAATTCTGAAATGAGTTACAGGGCTGCCATTGCAGCTGCAGAAGGAATAGAAAGAAGCAAATTAAGAGCTCACTGGATTCATATCTGTCAAATGCAAGCATACAATAGATGTTTCTTTCCATTGCCAGCAAATATGGTTAAATAAACTGAGCACTACATAGAAAAACAAATTTGAACCTGTCATAGTGTCATTGCACCAATTTGCATATATCTTCGTATTCAATAGCCTTGAGCACCTTCCCGTCGTATATACCTTTCTCAATTTGCACCTTGGCAGCGAATTTATCTGTATCAATGGATAACAACCTTGCATTTGATCCACGATAAGCCCCGTTAACTATCCTCACAAGACCACCAATTTGGGGAATTACAGTTTCGAGCTCTTCCTGATCAACTCTGAGGACATGCTTGTTTTCGAGGATTTCAATTTCCCCAACATACTTATCAATCACCTTCCTAACTACACCCTTTTGCTTATAGTATCCCTTGTTAGCTAAGGCCTTGCTCATTACCTTCACTATTATTCCCTCGCATAACCAATAATCCTTTCTATTTTGCCTTTCCTTTGCCCGTTCTTGCTCTCTCATCAGCTCATCCAAAGTTGAGCTGCCACCCCCGCTTACCCCACTACCACCCTTACCAATCTTTCCAGTATCTTTCCTACCTTCTTCACGGTTATCGATCACATCAAATACAGACTTTGAACTTTCAGATCTCTCTTTAACATTGGGTTTTGACGAGGCCAAAGACAGCTTGATTTTCTGGTCACTCTCTGATTTTTGCAAAGGCTTGTGCTCTGGTTCCAATTTCTGCTGAGAACCGTTCTCGTCTGCTGCACCCATCAACTGTTCTGCCCGCTCTCTCTGCTTCTTAATCTCCCTCTCTTGCTTCTCTTCCTCCGCGATGTCAGCCCTTATTCTCTTGTTCTTCATCTTCTCCTTGAAAAGGGTCTCCGAATCTCTATCTATATACGTAATAAACCACCCCTTGGGGGTCTCCTCAACTTTACACTTGCCAGCCCTCCCCAAATGCTTCACAAAGTCCGTCAGAGTCGCCCACTGCGTAGAATTCATATGCACGTGATGTCGATCAGCAATGTACTCGTTGTACACAACCGTGGCAGCCACACGGCTGAAGCGGTGGCTGCGCTTCATGTGTTCGAGGAATGAATCCTCAAACTCCTCCGAGTAGCCACTGACGATCCGTTCAGGGTTCTGGCCGAACACCTCCATTTGGCGCTGGTGGGACTCGCTCATACAATGGCACTTGAATCCATTCTCGTCCCTGCATTGCTTCTGGCACATCTGGCAGTACCATCGCAGCTTCTGCAGACCCTTAGCTTTGATTCTGTTAGCGATTGCTTTTGGGGTCAAGAACTCGTTCTTCCCCATGATTGAGAAAATCAGAGTGGTTTGAGATTTCCCTGTGCGCACAATTAGCAGCAACAGATAGCTTAATAGTTAGTTAATACATCTATTATGCACATCAGAATTAGGACTTGCAGAATCTGTACCATACAAATCCCCTCACCCATCAAACCAATCAAAGAATCCAAATGAATAAAATGGAAGAATCTGAACTTTAAGTGAATCGCAGATATGAATATAAAAACCTAGATAAAATTGAATCCCCACCCCGGTTTTTTGAATGATGCCAATAAAAAATGCATATGTTCTAACACACAAGTTTCTGAAATTCCTCGCCAACTAATCTACTAAATAAAGCAATCTCCTCTAATTATCAAATTTCACTTGTGCAGGGTGCCTAATATTGAAACCTAAATACAGAATATTGCAGAATCTTGAAACGAAAACACATAGATTTGGAAGGGAAACAGTAAAACACAAACAAAGTTATTGTATATTCATACTTAATGTTGTAAATCTCGTCCACTGGGAAGGCAACGCCGAAGACGAGAGAGACAGAGTCGTAGAGGGACGGCGAAGGCGAGCCTAGGAGGCTGGGAAGGACGACGAGAGAGGCAGAGAAGCTGGTACGGCGACGGCGCGACGGCGAGGAAGCTGGGACGACGAGTCAGCGTGAGAGCTCTGCGTCTGAAGTTTTAAAAGAATATGAGAGATGGGGCGAATTGCTAATTTGCTACTCACTGCTAGGTTAAGGCTTTGAATGTTTTATTTTTATGTTTTAGATTAATATTATACTCCGTATTATCTTTATCCTAACTAGTATTTGCCGCGTGTAATATTGTAAATATATATATTATATTATTAATAAATATAGTATTATTCATTAGTTATAACCAATGAGATTTTTTATTATAATTTCATATTAAAATTATGTATGTGTGTATATATCAACTTAATCAACTTAATATATATATATATATATATATATATATATATATATATATATATAATATTATATAATTATATAATTATATTATATAATATATAATAAAGCCAAATCCAAATTGCCAAAAGAATTTTGGCTCCAATAAAATATAGAATTAGATGTATACTTAATCCCGCCCAAATATTCATCTTATAAACATAATTGTTTGTCCATCAATGTGGGCAAGTATTGAGAACTCAAAAGATTATTATTTAAGAAGTTTCAACTTTGTCTTTTTATTATAGTTTTTATTTATTTATTTATTATTAGTGGGGTTGCGAAAGATTAACCCAAAATGTATGTGTTGTATTAGTTTTTAACAGTTTAGAACAAATTAATGACTTATTTATTTATTTTTTTATATTTTGATTAAAGTTAAAATGTTAAAATTTTGACGAATTTATCAGTAATCAAATAATAATAATAATAATAATAATAATAATAATAATAATAATAATAATAATCTAAACAAAACGATATACAAAATAAAATTAAAATTTAAAAAAATAAGAAGAAGACAAGAGAGCCATGGGCTCCCCTTTGGGCAAATTATTGTGTGGACCATGGTCCACACAATGTTACATGGACCATAACAAAAAGTACATTTTTAATATATTAAATGTACATTATTTTCGTATTGAATGTACATTACATAATATAATATACACTCAGTACAAAAATAATGTACATCCCCTGAATACAATGTACATTATTTTACAATATACAAAATATGGTCCACACAACTTGTGTGGACCATAATTGTCCCCTTTATAAATGATGTTGGATCATTTTGATCACACACTGAAATGTTTGGAAAGATGAGCTTTTGAGCTCCTCTATATAAGATGAGCAATGATCCTCTTACAAACATACTTATTTGCTCATCAATGAGGAAAAGTATTGAGAAGTCCAAAGGCTCTTATTTTATTTTTTGTTGAGTACTATTGACCCGGCAAATTATGCTGTGGAATCGTGTCCACCTTGCAAAGTAGACACGGTTCTAAAATTGTTCATACTTATGAATATATATATATACTTCAAAAATTATGAACATGTAGTTCTATAATTATGAACATAGTGTTGCGAACATAATTATGAACATATAGGTATGTAATTATGAATATAGAGATTCAATAATTGTGAATATGAAGTTCAAAAATTATGAATATATATAGCTTTATAATTATGAACATATAGTTTAGTAATTGTGAACATAGAATTCTGTAATTGTAAATATAGAGTTTAATAATTATGAATATGAAGTTCAAAGATTATGAATATATAGCTTAATAATAATGAACATATGGTTCAGTAATTATGAACATAGAACTGTGTCCACTTTGCGGTTCCACAGCATAACAATTCGATTCACCCTGTTACATGTAGTATTTGTTCATATAAACTTTCTTAGCCTATTGAAGCCCAACGTGTCAAAAGGCTCTTATTTAAGAAACCTTATCCTAATGGCTTCTTATTTTAATTTTTTTAAAAAAAATTAATTTATTAGGGGGTTTGGGAAAGATTAACCCAAAATGTATATGTATTGTTTTAGTTTTTAGCAGTTTGGATCAAATTGTTAAGTTATTAAATAATATTTTTGGTGTTTTAATTAAATATAAAATGTTAAACCGGCGAATTTCTTAAAATTTTGACGAATTTGTCAAATAATCAAATTACAACAACAACAACAACAACAACAATAAGAATAATCTACAATTTTAATAAAAGCCAATAATGTTAGACCTCTAACGGGAACTAAAAAAATGTCGGTACAACAATACGCTATAAAATATTGTACTTTGTGCTCTTTCAATTGAACAATGCCACATTAAAATCCTAATCTAGCCTTATTATTTTTAGTTTTACCAAACTAAAACTATCTGTCAACTTAAGTGACGGTGACAATTTTGTAAATTAAGTGAAATTGGATAGCAATTTACTGCTGGTCTTATTCAAACAAAATAGGGCAGCAAAAGCAAAATTCGAAAGAGAGGGAGAGGTCGCCGGATCCGTTCAGACTACCGACAAGCTGCTCTGCTCACTGGGAAAATACGTGTAACAACCCAAAATTTTATTTTTATAAATCCAGTATTAAGAAATTCCAAAGTAGCTTTTTCATCCTATTAAAAATGTTTTGCAATCAATCGGTGTATGAATAAAATAATTTTGTTCCATTTTTAAAATTAATTCGACACCGAATAAAATGAATTTCATTCGAAAATTCCAAAGTTTTCGGGTACTTCGCGTACCAAGATTTAAATCAAGAATTTTACCCGAGTGAGACCGGGAGAATTAAAAAGAAAATTTTGAACAAGTGTTCATCCATATAGTTTTTGGGAAAATTCACTTTCCACCCCAAAGTAATAAAGAAATATCATTCTTAGCCTATGGTTCATGATACGTGGTGGACCACAAGACATCCAAAAATCCCTTATAAAGTCATCTTTTAGCTCGGGGAAATTACCCATTTGCCCTAAACCAATCATTGTGATTCATCCTAGGGTTTTGAACCCTATATAAACCCTTCATTCCATCACATTTTCCTGATCTCATTTTCATTGCCTCTTCCTCACATTTGTCTACCAACATCCAATGAGAAAAACTTCAACCTAGTAAGCTTGTTCATCCTTCTTTCTAACATCATTTCTCTTCTAGTTTTCTTTAGTCTTTAAGAATATAGGCTAAGGATAGAAGGTGTGTTGGGAAGTGTAGGTGGTGAAGGAGGCTCAAGCTAGACCAAGAGGAAGAAGAGATCCAAGAAAGAAATCTAGACTACAAGAGGTATAATCCCATGGATTCATCTTTAGATTTGGCAATGTGAAGCCTAGTTTTGAGTAGAAATGAGTAGAAATTATGAGCTTTTGATGTGTTCATGCTTAGAAATGCTTTGGTATGTGTTTATGAGTTGTTGAGATTGTTTTGGACATGTTTGGACAAGTTTTTGCAGGTGAAAAGCTATCTGGTGCACAACACAGTGTGCACCAGACTAGAGTGGCGGCCCTAGCCGCAGCCCATCAGAAGGGCCGCCGGCTAGAGCCGTGGCGCCGTGCCACCACGGGACTAGGGCACGGCCCTAGAAGAGGGCCGTAGCCTAGCCCCGGCGTAGTAACGGGTCTATAGGGGCGGACCATGAAGAGCCCCGCCCCAAGTCCCTGAGTATTATTCTGATGAGATGTTGTGCAGTGGCCGGGTCCTTGTGGCTCAGCTACGTGTCGTTTCGGACCGAGTGTTACGGGCCCTTGTGGCTCGGCTCTTCGGGATCGTCTTGACGCACGTCTTGGCTTTGATTTGGTTGAATTTGGATTAAAAACGAGTATGCTGTGAATGATTTTGTGAAGAAATGTTACACAGTGTATATTTTGCTAAATTCTCTGTGTTTGAGAAATTGATGAATTTGTGATCAAATAATGTTCTTATTGGGTAAAGAAGCATGATCCATTGAGAATAGGATTTATTATGAAAGCCTGATTAAAATGTATTATTTGATCCATGAGAATAAAAGCATACTTGTTTAGTGAAATGTATAGAAATTGCTATTTTACAAACCGAGCATGATGATATATCCTTGAATAATTCATGTTAATGTATACATGATTTAGAAGCATGTTATAGAGCATTTGGCATTTCACATGAGTCATATTTCAAAAATGCATAAAGGGCCAACGTGAGTCCAAGAATACTTTCAAAAACCATAAGCATGTGGTATATCATTTTTTGATGCATTGAGAAGTAGTAGAATTGTTGCATGCATGAGATTGATGCATGAGTGATACATTTATGTATTATCTATATCGGTGAGGTTTTGGAGGATACCGTTTGGACTATGTTCCTCTCGGGAGATATTTATGGACATTGCGGTCCCAGAGTATGTAGCGCGGCGTATTCCCATGTTACGAGGTTGGAAACTTCCCGCCGGGCTTGGAATCCTGGTTAGGGGGTGTGCACACTAATAGTTCGATACCTGATTCCACAGAGTTTGAACCACGAGATTGGTTTCGTAGACGGTAGGAGATATTGGGTCGGAATTATGCCGTTCCCGATGGGGTAAGTCACACTTCTGTGAAACCCTAAGCCGTCTACGAGCATAAGAGAAAGAAAGAGAGTCAACAGAGACTGAAGAAAGAGAGTCAACAGAGACTCAAGAGAGAGAGAATCAACAGAGACTCGATTATGAGAGTCAATATAGACTCGATAGAAAGAAAGAGAGTCAAGAGAGACTCGAGAAAGTAACAAAGAAACCTCCACAGAAAGTACCCTATTTTATATATGAGTGTATGATTATATTATTGCACTAGATTGCATAAGAGTATGATTATATTGTTGCACGAGATTACATAAGAGTATGAGTGTACTGTTGCACTAGAATGCATGAGAGTATGATTATATTATCGCACTAGATTGCATATGAACATGAGTATATTGTTGCACGAGATTGCATAAGAGTATGAATGTATTGTTTCACTAGATTGCATAAGAGTATGGTTATATTATCACACTAGATTGCATATGAACATGAGTATATTGTTGCACGAGATTGCATATGAAAATGAGTATATTGTTGCACTAGATTGCATAAGAGTATGAGTGTATTATTACACTAGATCGCATATGAATATGAGTATATTGTTGCACTAGATTGCATAAGAGTATGAGTGTATTATTACACTAGGTTGTATAAGAGTATGATTATATTATTGCACG